TAATTTAATTTTTAAATTTTTTAAATTTTTAAAAAAATGTTTTAATGTATCTTTGGATTCTCTCTCCCACAGCTGGTGAGAGGAAAGCGGTCCACCATGTCTAGCAGGGCCACCTTTAGTACCATCGCTCGTGCTTTGTGCAAAAACGGCATCCTGACACTGTTCGCCATCGCAAAAGTTCCTATCGTAACCGAGACTGATCCTTCCGTCCAGACGGACCACAAGAGAGAAGAGCTGATTAAGAAGTTCAAAATCCCACCCGATGCTAGTATGAACGCATATTCTCAGCACACAGCTAAATGTGCAATAAAGCATTATGATAATGACCTGTCAAGAATCTGTCTACAGCATATTGAGTTCAGTTTGATGAAGTGCTGTGGTCAGGCTTAATTAATATACTGCTTATGTCCAGCTCCCTTCTGTATGAACCTCTACTTGGATATGGTGAACACTACAGGCGGTGCGGTGGCCTGGGCATTCCTCAAACCCATGCTGTTAGGACAGGTCCTGTACTCACCAGACACACCAGTGACGAGAGAGATCATGAGAAAGGTGCTGATTTTACATCTCACAAATAAATATTTGGCATCTAGGCCACATTTATGCTTTTCACTGATTTTAGACACAGAGATAATTAAAAAATTTTTTGCATGCATATAAAAAGCAAAAATGTGTGATTGGATCAAGTTTGGGCCACTTTTAGATACGTGTTTTGTTTTGTATTTCAAAAGTTTGAATTTCCAGTTTTCTGCCTTGAAAAAAACGTTGATTTCCAATTTATAAAGTACTACGAAAATGTCATTCATTGTGAAAGTATGACATTAAAAATGACAGCACCAAGGGAAAAGTGTAGTTTACTTGAATCAAACAAACGTTCCTACGTTACATGATGATGAAACCTGTTTAAAAATGTTTGCAGAGGCAGGTGTGAAAAACATGGTAAATGACCTTCTCTGTTGGTAATTGTACGGTTAGCATTGTACAACGTCATTTATTCTCCACAGTTGCTAGGAGACGTATTTGCTGAGAATCAGATACCTGCAAAGATAAAATATATAGTAATATCCTGTTTCTGACTTAGGATGGACTGCAGCATAAATCTGGTCATCTGACCTACATATTTACAGTCATATCGGATTGTTCTTTTAAGATATAGACGTGTAGTCTGTCTGGTCATGAAGCAAAATATTGTGTTTTCTTGTAACATTTGTTGTAGCAAAACATTTCCTTCTTTCCTGCAGTCAAATTCTACACTGCACCAGTTTGGTGATCTAAAGCTTTATGCATCCGAGTGGATAGAGTCATCGTCATATGTGATGCAGTCTGCCGACATCCTGACAAAAACCTTGCCGATACTTCAGGTATACTACAATGAGTCCTGAGAAAATCAAATAAACACTTTTTATTTGATTCATTTATTTTTTTCCCTCTACTGCATTAACTGCTTCCTTATCAAACTACTCTTCACAGAATTCTCTGCGCAATCCCTTTGTCCAAAACTTCATTCAGACTCAGACCGGCATTGATGTTGCACAAATGAGCTCAACTCTCAGCCAATTCTGTAAGTTCTCAACAGAGCATGCAATGCTTGCATCATGGTGATGGAGTATTATTATTAGAAGAACGTTTCTCATTATTATGAGATGTTATTATAACAAGAATGTTTCTAATATTTATGAGAAACAAAGTCATTATTATGAGAAAATTCTCATTATTACGAGTTACTGTGTCATTATCAGGAGAAAGTTTTGCACTATAATGAAATGTTATGTCATAATAATGAAGTGTTTTTTCCCCTAAATAACATATTAACCCATAATAAAGATAAAGATTCTCATTATTTTTAACTTGAAGAACTTAAAGAACTTTAACTTGAATTATAATTTTTGCTTAATTGTGGCAGGAATAATAATACAAACCTTACATAATTTAATTACAAAATAAATGTAACTGTACAGTTACTGAGAAAAAATGTGAAATTCAATTACAGTTACTTATGAAATTGTTAACAATTACAAAGGGGGTTACATCTGAATATTTTCACACACACACACACACACACACACACACACACACTTAATTGATTTCTTTCCCAAATTGCATTGACTGCTCTCGCATTGACACCAATGTTTCAGGAGTTTAGTTTACATGCTTGTTCAATAACTGCTTTATTTCCTTTTTGTGTTTATGTATATGCTTTATTTTTTAAGATTAACTGTTTTTTCCAAGGCATTGTTCGATGCCAGTGTTTCCTGTCCTAAATGCAAAGATTTGATTTCAAAAACAGTATCATATCTATTAAACTATTTCTTGTTATGATTTTAAACCTATATTCAACCTCGGAACAATCTCAAAGTAAAAAGAGGTGCTAAAATCTGATTTTGTAGTGGCTGTGCTTTAAAATTAAATTATTATAATCTTAATTCAAGTGATGAAGGATTTTGAAAGTCTGACAGTAATTAGTGTTGAGTACTACTGTAAAGTTAACCCTGCCTGGTTTAAATGTTTGAAAAGGATTAACAGTTGAAAACATTCGTTAGAAATTTAGAAAAGTAATCAAATGTAATCAGTTACATTACTTTAATAAAGTAATTGAAATAGTTACACTACTTATTACCTTTTAAATAGGGTAACTTGTAATCTGTAACCTATTACATTTCCAAAGTAACCTTCCCAACACTGAATGAATGAATGAATAATTAAATAAATACTAATAAATTAGTTGAATTATCAATTCTTTCTTGTAAATTCAGATTTACTAATTAAATAACCACAAGACCCTGGAGTTTCCAGAAATAATTACTCTCAGAATAGGACTAGTCTGTGAGACACAAATTTACCTAACCTCCTCTGGGAAAACTATCCCTGTCTGAATAGAGTTTTACAGCCGAGCACTTGAAACTCATGACAAGAGCCAGAGATGCATTGCTCCTATACACCCAAGTGTGTCTTATTCTAAATCTGAAGTGGCTTGAACAGTTTTTCTAACTCTCTTTGCAGCAAACCTGACAGTCCTTTTAGATAAAAACAAGTATATCATGGAGCAGATCACCACCCTCTCCATGCTGATGATGAACCTTTCCTCCTGTGTCAACTTCGACCGCTACCGAGCTTTCAACTCCACTGATCAACTCGACGAGCAGGCGGAGAGACTGGCTCAAAACCGCGAGCTCTCTGGCTCAAAACCGTGAGCTCTACGCCAGTGAGTTCACACACACACACACACACACACACACACACACACACACACACTTACTTTCTCATCAGGAGATACCTCTTCAACTGACTATTCCACTCATGCGTTTGGTGATTCTCTCGGTTGAGGACACCACAGGCACTGAAGAGCCATCGGGCTGTAAAGCCTGTAATTCAATGCAATTCGATTCAATTCCATTGAGATATAGATTTACACTGTTATCGAGGAACAGCAGGCCTCTGAGGTTACTATGACAACAGATCACTTCCCTTTTATACACATGAGCTCTGTTCATCTTCACAGGCATTATTTTCAAACTTCCTGAGGAGACCTCCAGCAGCTTGCCCCCGAATATCGACTACACCATTCGAATGAACATCGAGAATGTCATGCGCACCGACCGTGCAAGGAATCCCTTCTGGGTGAAAGATGCCTTTATGTCGGCAACGAAGACCCAGCGGTACAACCGAGGCTTTGTGTACCTGCAGGAGAGCATCGAGAGAGCCATCATCGAAATGCAGACGGGTAAAGCCATGGATGGGCCCGCGGTCCAGATGCAGGCGTTCCCTTATCCTTGCTACTACAAAGATGAGTGAGTGTCTGAAAAGCACAAACCCTACACACACACTGAGCATCTCATATGAAGACTGAGATGGTCACACAAGATGTGGTATCTGAACAGATAATCAACAGTTTACACCAACACTGAACATCTGCTCGTTTTGTTTATTAGAAATTTCTCTAGTAGGGTGAACATCTAGTATTACATAAAAAGAATGTATTTGCATTTGTTTAATGAAACAGCACTGCTTGCAAGGCAGCAAAACAATTTTGTAAGCTTAGGTTTAGCTTTGGTTCGGTGTAGATGAAGTGCTGGATTAGAGCTGTTGTCATGTCACTGAATTTTCTGTTGGCTGTGTATGAGAATCAACATAACTTAACAATAACATGACATTTTTCTTTTTTTTTTTGCAATGTAAAGGTGACTTTAGATGGTTTAGATGGTGGCTTTTAGATAGATGCCAGTGTTGTTATTAAAAAAAAAAGAAGAAAATTATTACAAATGTTTTTTGGTCTTTGAAGTACAGCTGAAATAAAATATAATTATTAGGTGAAAAAATATAATTATTAGGAGAAATATTGTCTTGGCAAGTTAAATTATTAAAATTACTAATACTAAAACTATAATAAATATAAATTAAAGCTAAATAGAAATAATAAAAAACACAACTAATACAAACACAAAAATAAAAATGGCAACATTACATAAAATTAAATTAACAATTAAAATGAAAACTGTAATAAATCCTATAACAGTATATTCATAATACTAAAATAACACTAATAGATGCTAGAATGAAAAGGATGCAATGAAGTGACAAGATTTTCTCCATAGAAAATAGATTGCAAACCAAATTAATGTCTGAATTAGTTGCAGAACATCATTGCTGTGGGTCATCAATTTAGACTTTTAATTACAAAATTAATCAAAGAGGAACTTGACTTAAGTTAGTCAGTTCATCAGTTCCTCTTTCTTCAACATTTGAAGTTATATAGATTGATGTGTAGAACAAATATGCCCTTCACCTGCTAATCTCAAATCTTTCTACCCCCCAGGTATCTCAACAGCATCTCTTTTGCCTTCCCAATGGCTCTCATGATTTCCTGGGTGCTGTTTGTCGCCCACTTTGTGAAGAAACTCGTCCACGAGAGAGAACTGCGACTTCATGAGGTATGGAACCAAAACACATTTTTTCTTTAGTCCGTTCCCACAGACTTTAATTAGGTTTCTAAACTCCTTTCACTCTTCCCACAGTACATGAAAATGATGGGGGTCAATCCCATCAGCCACTTCTTTGCTTGGTTAATTGAAAGTGCTGTGTTCCTGCTGGCGACCATCATCATCCTCACCATCATTTTGAAAGCTGGCGGCATCCTTCCTCGCAGCAATGGCTTCGTTCTCTTCCTCTACCTTTGTGACTATGGCTTCAGCGTCCTTGCAATCAGCTTCCTGGTCAGCTCCTTCTTCGATAAGACCAACATCGCCGGGCTGAGCGGCAGTCTTATCTATGTCATCTGTTTCTTCCCCTTCATCGTGCTGATCCACTTGGAGGACAATCTTTCCTTCAGTGTGAAGAGCGCTCTGGTATGTACTGCATTTAAATCAGTTCGCAATTTAACATCATTGCACAGTCACATTAAGCCAAAATCATCACAATTAAAAGAACCAAAGACTTAAACTACTTCAGTCTGTGTGCATTGAATTTATTTAATACACGAGTTTCACAATTTGAGTTGAATTACTGAAATAAATGAACTTTTCCACGACATTCTAATTTATTGAGATGCACCTGTATGTAAAAAGGCCTATTAAAGTTCACAAATTAACGCATGAGATTAATTACAAAAAATGACATTCAGTTTGACATTATAACTTCTGTTTGATATTATAATTTCTAAAACTATTGTTGTAGTGGGGACCTTTTTGCATTTTATATTTTTATATTTAGACATTATTCAGTATGTTTATTATTTCACTTCCCTCAATATAGGTTTCAGGTTTTACTGTTACTGCAGGGACCAAATATTCTCTCACACGCACAAAAGTCCCAAGAACAGCATGTTTTCTCAGTAAATGCAGGAAGAAATTCTTTACGGATAATTCATTTATAAATCAAAGCCAGGCGGGACATTTAACAAAAGTCATTTGCATTCTTTGTATGGTGAAATTTAATTATCATAACAGCTCCACAAGTGAAATATCACCCACAAATGTGAAACCGTGTCATTCATAGAAATGTTAATGCGAACACCAGCAGAGGACTAGTGCGCAGGCTGTGGCAGCGGCAAAAAGATCTTTACATGTAATATTATGTCCATGAAGAGTGGGGTCATAAAGTTGTTTTGTTGAATTATTGCAGACTTGCATTTCCATGTTGGCATTTTCTTTGTTTTGATCTGTTTTTGTGCAAATAAGGTGAGTTAAAAGCACCGTTGAAGGAATTTACCTTGTCAATATTATTATATTGATATGGACATATATTCCACTGTAGTTTCATTATTATATTGATATGGACATATATTCCACTGTAGTTTCATCCACACAAATAATACACAATATTTTGTTAAAAATTAAACAAATGCATTAGCATATTAACTACATTTTATGCACGAATAAAGGAAGCGTTCACCCAAGAAAAATAGAAATTATTTATTCACCTTGCCATTCCAAACCTGTCTGACTTTTTTAAACTACTTATAACAACTCACCTTTTGTAAGAATGTAAGGTTTTGTAAGAAAGTAAGGTAAGTGACATGATGGTGAGTAAGTTATGACAGAATTCGATTTTAGGATGAACTAGTCTTTTAAATTTTTTATTTTAATCCATTTAATCTCACTGCGTTTGTTTTTGGTCCACAGAGTCTCTTTTCTCCGACATGCTTCAGTTATGCCAGCCAGTATATCTCCCGCTATGAGAAACAGGAAGAAGGTAGGTTGACACAAACTTCTCAGACTGTCTGTAATTAGTGTTTGTTTGGGATAATTACATTGACTGAATGCATTGTGTACTTACACCTCAGGCATCCAGTGGAGCAACATGTATATCTCTCCTCTGGCTGGTGACACTTCCTCCTTCGGTTGGCTCTGCTGGCTGCTCCTCATTGACTCAGTAGTATATTTTATCATTGGGATTTACATCCGCATGGTCTTCCCAGGTATGTGTGAGCTGCTCAGTTGAGAAACTCACCCATTTTGTTTGTGTGGTTAGGTAAAAAGAAACAATATTAATTTTTACAAGTTAAGGTTTAATATTATCGTTTAATCCATTTTTCTCTTGATCAGGAAAGTATGGCATTGGTGTTCCGTGGTACTTCCCTGTGACTCGGTCCTTCTGGACAGATATGTTCAGCTGCTGTAGCAGAACTCCAAAGAAAATAGGCAGAGGGTTGCTCTTTACCAACATGATGCAGGAACAAAACAGCACTGACAAGATCAAAGGTACGTTACTACACAGTGCTTTGGAATACTTGATTCTGATTGGTCTGTAGCAGCATTGAGCGGGAAAGTACTTTTGCGTGAGTGCATGTCTGTATATTTGATAACTGTCTGTGGTAGTCTGTGGTGCTATCTTCATGTTTCTCATATCACTTTTTTTTTTAAACCAATGCAAAAATTAGATTAGTTAATTGGTGCAGTGATTACAGACTGAATTAGAAACAGAGGAAGACACGTTTTATTGTAGCTAAATATTACATAACAGTAGATTACCTGCACTGCCATTTAGAGGTTTGAGGTTAGTAAGATTTTTGAGAGAAGCTTCTTATTCTCACATAGGCTGCATTTATTTGATTAAAAATACAGTAAAAACAGTAATATTGTGAAATATTACAATTTAATATACATGTTGTCGATTTTAATATATGTGACCCTGGTCCACAAAACCAGTCATAAGGGTCAATTTTTAGAAATTGAGATTTATACATCATCTAAATAAATAAGCTTTCCATTGATGTATGGTTTGTTAGAATGGGACAATATTTGGCCGAGATACAACTATTTGAAGATCTGGAATCTGAAGGTGCAAAAAAAAAAATCGAAATATTGAGAAAATCGCCTTTAAAGTTGTCCAAATGAAGTTCTTAGCAATGCATATTACTAATCAAAAATTAAGTTTTGATATATTTACGGTAGGATATTTACAAAATATCTTCATGGAACATGATCTTTACTTTATGTCCTAATGATTTTTGGCATAAAAAAAAAAATCAATAATTTTGACCCATACAATGTATTTTTGGCTATTGCTACAAATATACCCAAGCGATTTAAGACTGGTTTTGTGCTCCAGGGTTCACATATTTTAAAATGTAATATATTCATGTGATGACAGCTGAATTATTCAAATTTGCTAATTTGGTAATCAAGAAACATCTATTCTTACTATCTGTTGTGACAAGTCAGAAGCGTGTGGATCCATTTGCAGATTTTATTAGAATCGTCATACAATACAGGGTCAAATACCGGCAACTGGAGGGTACCGCCCCGGCGTCTGGAGTCTAGCAACTCGTGCACTTGATACGCCTCCTCGCCATCAACCAGGAAATGCAGGGGGGTCTGCGGTCTGGCCCCCTCCTCCGTCTCTCCTCTCGCACCACCAGCGGGTTTCAGAAGTGATACATGGAATGTAGGAGAAATGCGGTAATTAGAGGGCAGTTCTAAACGAAATGATACTGGAGATATTTGTCTAGAAATTTTGAAGAGACCAACATACCTGGGACTGAGCTTTTTACATGGAAGTCGGAGGCGTAGATCTTTGGTTGAAAGCCAAACCCATTGGCCTGGGGTGTACTCGGGACTGGGACGTCGATGTCGGTTAGCTTGTTGTTCTTGACGCCTTACGGCATGAAGTAGGTGAGTATGTGCCCGATCCCATACCTCCTCGCTGTGTTGTAACCAATCTGTGACGGAAGGTAATTCGGTGGGTTCGTCAGACCAGGGAAACAGCTGATTCCAGGGTGACCCGAACTGAGCGTTGCGTGTACTTGGGTTAGAAGTCGGGGTCGACGGGCCTCAGGGACATAGATGAGGTTTGCAGGGCATTCGGGAGGTGGCGGATTTTGAAGATTCAGCTGTTCAATCTCAGTCATGATATCCCATTGTACTGGTGCCAAGAGTAGTTTGTCGGGAATGATATTGTCGTTGGAGCTGGGATGGCTTGTTTCCTCAGTTTGGCGAGAGAGAGCGTCAGCCTTGGTATTCTTGGTGCCTGGCCGGTATGTCACCGTGAAC